AAGGGTCTAGGCCCGAAACGTCAGCCTTCCTGCTCCTATGATGCTGCTTGGCCTGCTGTGTTCATCCAGCTCTACACCTTGTTATCTATCAAGCAGCACTTGATTAGCAATAACCTGCTCACTGATACTAAGTTTGGTTTCTGGCAGGACCACTAGCTTCTGACCTCATTACAGTCTTGGTTCAAACATGGAAAAAAGAACTGAAGTCCAGAGGTGGGGTGAGAGTGACAGCCCTTGACATCAAGGCTGAAGTTGGCATCAAGTGGCCTGAGCAAATCTGGAGTTGATGCAAAGCAGGGAGAAAACTCTCTACTAGTTGAGGTCGTACCTGGCACATAGGAAGATTTTGTGGTGGTTGAAAGTCAGTCATCTCACCTCCAGGGCATTTCTGCAGGAGTTCCTCAGGGTAGTGTCCTAGGCCCAACCATCTGAACTGCTTCATCGATGAACTTCCCTCAAACTTAAGATCAGAAATGAGAACGTTGCTGATGATTGCATAATGTTCAGCACCATTTGCCACTCCTCAAATACTGAAGTAGTCCATGTCCAAATGCAGCAAGGCCAGTTTTGGCTGTAAGGTGTCAAATAATATTCACACCACACAAATGCCAGGTAATGACCATCTTAAACAGGCGAGTATCTAATCATCGTCCCTTGACTTTCAATGGTATTATCATCACTGAGGACCCCAATAACATCTTGGAGTTTACCATTAACCAGAAACTGAACTGGAGTTGCCACGTAAATACAGGGGCTACAAGATTATGGTCAGAGGTGAGGAATCCTGCAATGAGTAACTCCCCTTCAAATTCCTCAAAGCCTGTCCACCATCTACAAGGCACAATTCAGGAGTGTGATGTAATATTCTCCATTAGCCTAGATGAGTATAGCTGCAAGATCACTCAAGAAGCTTGACACCATCAAAGGTGAAGAGTCCAATTCATTGACATCACATCCACAAACATCTACTCCCTCCACCATCAATGTTTAGCAGTAGAAATGTGCACAAACTGCAGAGATTCCTGTAAAAAATCCTTAGGCAGCATGTTCCAAACCCACAACCACTTCCACTTAGAAGGACAAGGGCTGCTGATACATGGGAACACCACCACCTACACATTCCCCTCCAAGCCACTCACCATCCTGACTTGGAAACATACCATTGTTCCTTCACTGTCACTACATTCAAATCCTGGAGCAATCTCCCTAAAGCATTATGGGACTACATTGTATGACTATAGCAGTTTCAGAAGGTAGCTCATCACCTTTTGAAGGGTAACAAGGTACAGGCATAAATAGTGACCTAGCCAGCGATACCTATGAACCACGAGTGAATAATTTTTTAAAAATTCAGACAACCGTAAATCTTCCAACAGTCAATCACAATCACATCGACCTGACATTAGCAGTGAGTGAGTTAGGTCATGAGCATGAACATCAGTTCAAATAATTTCATCCTTGTAGTTCAAAATTGTGTTTCTTAATTTCCCACTGAACCTTCGTGTATTCTTTGGGATGCAAACCAAGAGATTAATGATGGCTATTCAGAGGAGGTCAATTATTCTGAGGGTGCACATTACAGAGGTCATGCACCAACTTGGATACTCTTAATTTGGTGGAATGGCAAGGTAGATAGTTAAACATTCATTTGATGATGTTCAAATCACCTGTAAAAAAACAAGTAAATTCTGGAATTTACATAAAGTTTGATACTTCACCTGAGTCCAGTCTCCCGTTTTCCATTTAGGACATCTACCTCCTCGGCATCGTTTATGTGTTTTAGGTCTTTCCAGATGTTTACAATTCTCTTCCTCTACTTCTTTTCCGTCTTTAGACATGCAGTAAACAGAGCGATACTTGCTTCCTTTCCCACAGGAAATGGAGCACTGAAAGTAAAGTAATTATGGGAGTTATTTTTGTTGTTGTTTCCTTATCTTTACAGTTCTAACGGGAGATTTTTCCTGGGTCTGCTGTTTGGCACCATAAATCACCTAGGTGTAGTGAATTCTCTGGTGGGTCAGAGGGTACAATAGTACATGAACATGCCTGATTTTCCTCTATCCACTTTAATGTGAGAAAATCAATCATAGGCATGGCTTTGGAACTATTGCTCAGTATTTCAACATTCAGTTCATCTAGGCAATCTATTGTATCTGGTTACAGGCCGAGTTTTGAGCTTATGGAAGTTACATATGCTCGTCCTTTTTACATTCCTTCCTTCCTCTCGGTCTTTCATGTTTTTTCATCATTTCTACAAATACCATACCTTAATGCATAATTAATGTACAAAGGAGATTTATTTTGTTAACATGTGGAGGAATTTAAATAGAGATGTCTATATGCATGAGGATAAACTTTCAAATTGCTCAAAGAAAACACAGCAATCGTTTAAGAAAATAAGAGAAAGGCTCAAATATTCCACTCATTCTGATCAGTATAAGGAAAACATGGCATTAAACATGAACATGGAGTAAAATACCACCCACTTAGCTTTCACTTTGAAGCTACTAATGTGAAATTTTTATAGTCAGTTCAATGAACTATCAAGATTCTGAGTACTTCTGAAGTATAGACATCTGACAACTCCAGTTTGATTTCAGATTAGCAAAGCTGAAAGATCAAAGAATCAGAGATGGATTGAAATTGCGACAAATATTTTACATGGCAGGTATTCAGAGTACAACGCATTGAACAGCAGGATAATTAAACTCTTGTATTTTATCATTTTGAATGCAGAAAATTGCATGTAATATTCAGCACAGAAACAAGCCAGTCTGTGCAGCTAGTCTGTGTCAGCACTTATACTTCACATAAATCTCACATCCTATCTCATCTCATCTCATCTCAACCATTCAGCTTATTTTTTATTCCTTTTTCTCTCGTGTGCCATCTAGGTTCCTTCGAAAAACATCCAAAGTATATGCCTCAACCACTTCCTCTGGTAGTTTCAGATTCTAATGAAGCCTGCAACAGACCCAAGGCACCAACAATCAAAAAAATTTCTATCCTTGCGGAAGTCATTGTTTAAACAATTCAAATCTGTAGGAGCTAAAAACCTGAAGATTTAAGAATTGGAGTAATGTTTTAATTGAATGACATGTTGTGCCATGGCATTTTAGAACATACATTCTAGAAATTCCCCACACGGAGTTCCCAATCTGGATAGTAAGTGAATGGAAGAAAGAAGACACTTTCTCCAAAAAGAGGTAGAATATATCCGACTTACATATTCAGACAGCCACAGACAGTGGTGGATTGTTTAATGTCAGTGGAACAGTGTGAAGCTTGAGGAGTAGATCACATGAAAACAAAGCTGGATGGAAGAAAATACACCAACTGATATTCTCTAATACTACAGCAAAATATCAATGTGAGACTAAGAAAAATCAGATTAATTCCTTTGATTGTGCTGAGTTAGCAGCCCTCTGTGCTTAAGGTAGGAAGAAACCGCCATTATTTCTTGATTCCAAGTCAAATCAAGAAATAGTTTAGTAAAAATATTTTCATCTCATGAGCAGAATACAATAAACGGACACCCCTTTCAAGTAAACAACCCCTTAAAAACATTCAGAGATTGAGTAAAAACGTCAGCCCAACATCAACAGGTGTACTGTTTGGCTCCTCAGGGAGTGAAGTAAAATCTAATTATAGTTGCCACTGGCTATTGATGATGAAATGTATGATGGGACATTCTCCTAAACCTGTGGCCTAGTGTATTTAAATTGATAAGTGGGAAATCAGTCTTCCTCCCTCATGGGCATGCAACGATAGCCCCCCTGAGTTTCTGAAAGTCAGTGTAACCCAGTAAGCTACTGCATGTCTGTGCAGATCCAGGCCAATCATCCTTTTAACGATCAGAGTATTGACATATTGATGAGTTGCCGTTATACATGTGACTATAATTGTGCTGTGACTTAATGGGTTAAAGCACCTGTCCAGTGAACAGGATGATTCACCTCATTTCAAATCTTGGTGGTGCCTTTCTTGAGGGACTCTTGAAGTGGTAGTGCACCTAAGTCTGAGCTTGGAGGTCTGGGTTTAACCCCACCTACTCCAGAGGGAGTCATAATATCTCTGAGAAGGTTGATTTGAAAATATCTATAGTTAGTATGAAATAAAGCCTGTATATATTAACTTACTAAGCACCATGAAACAATATAAAGTAGGCCAGGTAGGAGGGATATCTGACTTCTTGCTCAATTCCCTCACTTGCTTGATGCTGGGCTTCCAAGGCAGAGTCCCAAATGATATGGGGTTTAAACTGACTGGAGAGCTTTCATGATACAAATAAGGACTGATAAGGTAAACTACTACTCTTGTAATAGTCTAATAAAGATGGCTTTCAACAAATGTCATTATATGATCATCCTTTGCCTGGTCACTGCCCATCCAGTATGGAACCATAGTTCAAATTTTAATTACAAAGAAAACCAGAAATTGCTGGAGGAGTTCAGCAGTTCTGGCAGCATCCATGGAAAGAACTGAGGAATTGGATGCAAAACATTAATTCTGATTTCTCTCCACAGACGCAGCCAGACTTCTGAGCTTTTCCAGCAATTTCGGTTTTTGTTTCTGATTTACAGCAACTGCAGTTCTTGCAGTTTTTATTTAGTTTTTAATTAGGCTGCTGAAAATATCTAAGAAGTGAGTCAGATACATGGTGGCATTTTCCCATTCATATTTTATGATATACAGATCTTAATTTTTAATGATAAAGTTTTTGATTAATTTTCAATAACTGCAATGCGAGCAACAGGGTTAAAGTCATGATTCTTATGTCTGCTGCAACACTGTCCAGCAGCCTATTTTGGCAGAGGAGCAAGAACTGTAAAATTTGCCTTCAACACAGACTGTTCAATTTACTGTATTACAATTTTGGTTGCCATTGAAATGTTGTTATGCTGATTGTTTCCTTTATTTGTTATCAAGACTTAACTTGCAAAATGGATAAAATACCTGCACTAAAATAATTGATGCATTTATAAATAAAATTTATTTTTCACCATCCTGAGAAACTCTTAAGGACAAGTGTCACTCAAAAATGTACTTTCTCAAAAAATCTCATATTCCAAATGTTAATTAATCAAGGTCATTGCTGGATCTTTAGGGATAAAGCATATAAAGCACGACAAGTCTACAAAGAAATAAAGTAATACTAAATTTTTTTCAAGATAAAGAAAATGCAGCAGGTCCTGCTTGGCTAAAGCAGTTAAAAGGTAAGTAAATATATTTTCTGCTTTAGCACATTGATGGATGATCCTCAGCATTTTTCAAGTCAGAGCAAGTTATAAGCTTAGTAACAAGGTCATTGCGACCTTGTTGCGATGATTTTTGGGTAAAATGTAAATATTCAGAAATACTTTAAGCAGTTGGCAAATTACAAATTGATATCTAATGATGATTCTGCCCAGTTTACAGAAGATATATATGTTAAATTTCTTTCTTCAATCTGAAAGGATTAATATTCTATCCAAGAAAACTGAATTCATGTTTTGCACACGTTAATGAAATGTTAATATCTCAGAGATGATATTTTACTGACGTTTGTTAGCAAGGTAAACTAGGACCAAGTGCGGAAACTGTAAAACATTTGAAAATCCAGGTGACTGTTGGGTGTACAAACATCATATTTGATTACTTTAACCTTTTTAATTGAATCATTGATGACCAAAGGATGCTATATTAGCACATTATGAAAGGCACTGTCATAATCTGTATTGAATGGAAGACTTACTTAGCATCATATGATTACAAGAACTACTGCAGATGAGATTTTTTTGTTTGTTTTCCATATACAAGATGAGTTAACATTACACAAACTATGTCACGTGTATTCATGATGAGACTGAATGCATTAATTTAAAACATGATGAATATTGTTCATTAAGAAGCAAATACTGAAAATATACAATGTCAGTTGCATGTAAAAAACCATACTGGTAATAAGACAAAGATAAAGTGCAAAGCTTAGTTTTCAAATTTGAAGTGCTAACAAAATGGAACCATTTAGTTTTACATGGAAATACATTACATGATGAAATTGTCTTAATGAGTCTTAATGAATCCTAAAGAAACATAAGGTCATAAGAGGTGAAAAACATTTATGTTTATTTGAAAATGCTGTTTGAATAATATAATGAAAATACTGTATACAATATCTTCTTTCCATGAAGCTGACTTGAATCTTGATTTTCTTTAGAAGGTATTTTTGCTGTAGATAACACTGTGGTAGGGAACTATATTTACATACACATAGGGGATTTTTACTTTGATAATCATAGTTCAAACAGTTGACATGTTAGTGCATTTAGAGGAAGTGATCTTCAAAACAATATGATATCAGATAATAAGCTAGACCCTGGGCGATCAGTGAAAGTAAAACAGTGAATGGCACACGACTCTGACTTTGCTTCAGATATTGTACAAGAGGTCACTACAATCAAAATAATGTGGTGAAATAAATACCCATACAAAAAACATCATGTGAAAATACAACAGGAGCAGTCATAGGCTATTTGGCCCCTCGAGTTGCTCTGCTATTCAAAAAGATTATGGCTGATCCGTTTTGTGTTTTGAATTCCACATTCCCATCTACCTGCAATAAACTTTGATTTCTTTGCCTAACAAGAATCTATTTCTGATTTAGAAATATTCAATCACTCTGTCTCCATTGCCTTCAGAGACAGAGGATTCTGAAGTTGCATAACCCTCTGAGAGGAATAATTTCTCCTCATTTCAGAACAATCAACAATGGTTATTAGCAAGCAGTATGGACATATCAATGACTTTGTGCTGGTTTTAGATAGAAGTTGAAGATAACAGTCAAAATATTCCTTAAGTTGCTTAATTTATTTTTACCCTTTGAGTAAATGGCATGCTCATCTATTTGTGAGGAATCTTACTGCACACAATGGAACATTTTTGTCCAATGTTGTTACTTGTTTCAGTATCAGTCACCTCAATGTTCAGTGTTATTACAAGTAAAACACAACTTGCATGTATCAAGAGGAAAAAGTGTACAATGGGTCTGAATTTATTCACACAATAAGAATACACAATGCTAGTTTTGATCAGGAAAAGGTATTGAAGGATTTTGATCTGTGAATATGGAGAAGCAATTATTATTTATGATTAATACAATATCAATCGTGTTTTATCATTTGCAGAGATCGTGTTGAAACTGTATAACTGGGGAATAATGCACTATATAAGTGGAATCTGCATTCTTATACATTTTACACCATCTGCTCTCTTCACAAAGCAGCGAGAGACCAGCATGCCATCAGCTACAACTCAAGAGCACCACACAACAGAGAATCAAGCATCAATACACCTTCTAGACAGCACTGTCATCTCAATCACATCAGGATATGGATATTGATGGGAATAGAAAAAAAATAATATGACACACCAACCACTGGTAAGGAAGGAGTAGCAGTGATCATTTATGTGTCGTGATGATTAATTAGATTGACTTATTCACATAGTTATTTCCGCTGTGTCTGCTGTTTCATTACTTATTCCATCAACATCTTCTTTCATCTTGTATCATCATTCATTTTTCATTTCATTTATATTTTCATTCACTTGTGGGATGTGGGCATTGGGAACTAGAATTAGATTTTATTGTCACGTGCATTCAAGTCTAGGAATTGACGAGTACAGTGAAAAGTGTACAAAGTCACCACTCTCGTGGGCTTTCTTGGTTACACACTTGATTACAAAACCAGAATAAAACAAAACAGCAGGAATTAAGGAACCAAAACCAAAAGAAATGAGATACATCCAGATATTAAAGTCCTATTTAAGTCTTATCTCCATGCAGGCACCTGGGCCAAGACACAACCTGGCGTCTCGGGGAGAGCTGAAAGTTGGTGGTGAGTTGCCTGCTTGAAACACTGCAAGTCCATATGCTGTGGGTATGTTCAGCACCATATCTGACTTCTCAGATGCCAAAAAAGTCTATGTTCCAATGCAGCAAGACCAGTACAATATCCAGGTTTACGCTGATGTTTGGTGTGAATGTGATATATCCACATAAGTGCATGGGAATGACCAAACCAATAAGAGAAAATTCCAGCCATTGACACTTGAAATATAATGTGAATACTATTGTTGAATCCCCTGATACCAAAATTCTGGGGTTATCGTTGACAAGAAACTGAACTGAATGAGCTACAGAAATACTATAGCTACAAGATTCTGTCAGAGGCAGTGAATATTGCAGTAAGGAACTCGCATCCTGACTCCATAAAGTCTGTCCACTATCCACAAGATACAAGCTGGGAGTGTGATGGAGTACTCTCCACTTGCCTGGATGGGTGCAGCTCCTACAATATTTAAGAAGCTCCAAATCATTCAGGGCAAGGCAGCCTGTTTGTTCGGCGCACCATCAAATACCTTCAACATTCACTCTCTCCACCACTGATGCACAATGGTAGCAGCATGTATCATCTACAAGATGGACTGAAACAACTCTCCTAAGATCCTTGGACAGCAATTTCTGAACCCATGACCACAAACTATTTAGAAGGAAAAGGGCAGTAGATATGTGGGAACACCACAACATGCCATTCAAGCCATACAGTCTTCTGACTTGGAAATACATTCCTGTCCGTTCACTGTTGCTAGGTCAAAATCCTGGAACATTTTCCCGAAAGGCACTCTAAGTGTACCTACACCAGGTACACTACCCACAATCCATGAATGAATAAAAAATTGGTAGTCATGTCAGAAGCAACACTTGTTCTGAACGATAGTACGAGCTGCTTTGGAAAGTAGCAAGGATGCTTGAGTTGTTAGTCAAATAGGGGGTGAGTTAGAATGACAAATAGTGCACATGAGATACCACAGATTGTGTTACAAAAGTCAACCGTACGAGACAACTCCATTTCTTCAGACAACTCCATTTCTTCAGTACCAAATATCTTGTTTTGGCTCATAGTTGGCATATAATTCAATTCTCTTTTGTTCTAAAGACCGCTGTACTCATATCAGCATGTTTCACTTAAATTATAATGAGATCAAACAAGCAAAATGCCATGTTGCCAAGATAATATACGTGGAAGTTTAAAGCAAAGAGACACAGAAGACAGCATACAAGGTATGAACAGAAAATAGGTCCTCCAGCAGAAACAATAAAGTACTCTTAAAGAAAAGGTCATAACATTTGCTAAGTTGTCAAATAATTGTGCTGTAGAGAGGGAATATGATGTTGTACAATGTGAGGATGGAAGGAGGAAATCTTTGTGAAGAAAATGCCCATGACCAGAAGAACAACCACTAAACTCATCTGCAGAAGCATGTATCGAAATGGATCCTTGAAAATCATCATTAGCAGTTACATTCTAAGGTTTTGGAGTAGATCTACAGCTTGGGTTGTGGGTGTTGAGGTTGGTTGGCTCGCCGAGCTGGTTTGTTGTTCCACAGACGTTTCGTTACCGTGCTGGGTAACATCCTCAGTGCAGCTTCTGATGAAGTGTCGGTGTGTTTTCCCGCCTGGTTTTTAAACTCTGGGGTCCGTTGCAATGGATTGCCTCACTTCCGGGTTTCCTCCATAGTGGAATGTATATGGGGTCGAGTTCAATGTGTTTATTAATAGCATGCTTCATGGAGTGCCATATACATTCCACTATGGAGGAAACCCGGAAGTGAGGCAATCCGTCTCAACGGACCCCAGAGTTTAAAAACCAGGCGGGAAAACACACCGACGCTTCATCAGAGGCTGCACTGAGGATGTTACCAAGCACGGTAACGAAACGTCTGCGGAACAACAAACCAGCTCGGCAAGCCAACCAACCTTGGCAGTTACATTATCAACAGAAATGCAACGAGCATTCACACACTTATGCAGGCAAAAATCAAACCAACTCCAGCTAATATTTCAGACACCTAGTTGTCGCAACTGCTTTATGGAACAAAAATGTTCAGTGTTGTGGCAGAAGGCCAAGATTTCCAGAGATTAGCAAAAGATCTTGATGCCAAGATGTTGAATTTCTATGCAGGCAAAAACACAAGTACCTATTATGTCACATCAGCAAGATAGATGAAATTCCCATGAATTTCGATATGTTCAGCATCAGAACTGTGGAATAGAAAGATTCACAAATACTTCTTGCACTGAATGGCCAACAGTGTGAAATTAAGGCCTATGGTAATTTTCAAATGTGAAACATGCTGCACATTAAGTTCCCTGCACGAGTTTTTGTGTGTTTTGCTGTGCAACACTTGGAATGGATGAGGACAAAGTGGATTGATGATGTATGGAATAGATATCTTTGTGGCCTAAGTGAAGAAAACAGTTTATTAGTGTGACACATGTTCATACTTAGATCCCATATAACCAATGAGATCAAGAGGCCCCTGCAGAGCTTTTCCAGCAAGTTCTGTTTTTGTTTCTTTTCGTATTTCAGACCACACTCAAAAATACCAGTCTTTACAGATGTGATTCTGCTATTGGGTGACATTTATTAATTAATTCAGATGTTACTGGTATAATACTGGAAAGTCATTTAAGATTATCCACTCGGCACACAGTGAACTATATTTGCATGTACCAGAAGCTACATATATTAACACACAAGCCCATGCTTATGTAGGGAATAGGCATTCATACATACATTGCACCTTTATCAGTGGAAGAAAAGGGTTCATGGAGCCTGTCAATCGCTGCTGTATTCCCAATGACAACACACACTGACCAATTAGAGTCTCAGGATTAAGATTGTCCGTTAAGTGTTCCTGCTGCATCCCTGTGCCAGCAATGGCCCAACCAAAAAGCATCCTCTTTTCATGCTAGATCAGTTGGTGTCCTTTTTTCAACTCTATTTTTTTCATCCTAGTCCCAAGACTGAGTGCAAGAGGAAAAACGTCAGCTTCTTATCACCTTTTAACAACATTTAGGCAGTAGGTAGTTTCATTGCCAAATTGGGGAAAGTTACAAATGCACAAACTGTCATCAGAAAGATTTTAAAAATGTGGATTATCCAATTCAATACATAGACAGGAAGATCATTTGTTATGGAAGGATGCTTCTGAAACAAAATCATCACATCTGATCCAGTACAGGATCATTACAATGATTAACAAAAAAATGTAATTTTAACCTAATTTGATGTTTTTTTTTTGCACCAGGTACTATTAACAATGAATTTGACAGTTTTAAAAGTTTTGATTGTGGTTAGAGTATTGCTGTAGAATTAACTAATTCAATAAAATGCATCGCAATGATTTAAATGGAATTGGCAGTATTCTGAGGCTTTTCACATTTTAAAATAGCAATCACCTACACCATACAAGTGCTTCATATTTTCTAATTAGTGTATAAGTCACCATCCATTCTCATGGTATTTTTCGAGCTTCAAAGCTCAACTTATACTCTGCAGTTAACAGTAACAAAATAGCAGTAGCTACTGTAAAATGTATTGTTTCTGAGGTGCTTTATCCTGTTGTGACCTCCAAATTATATACCACTTGTGTTTTCACATTAATCAAAGGGAACAAGTGACTTCTTTATTCGGATTGCTTGCTGCAAGGCCATATCTCAACCATGCCGCTTTGAAATTAACACTGTGAGGAATTGCTGAAAACCTACATGAATCAAGCACTTACTATTTTATTGTGACTAGAAACAATACATTGTTATAAATCAAAATTAATTTCAGTCATTTAAAGAATTCAAATCATTGTGACTTTAATAAGATTTTTTACGCAGATAAGTGATTTTCAAATGCCTATTGTAATGCATTTTATTTCTTTACCCTGTGTTTTACATGAGTACTTTGAATGTGTTTGACATTTCCCAGGATTTAATGTAGTTGGTGCTATAAATATTGATGCATGACAGCAAAGCTTTTCAAGGAAACTAGAAAATGACATTCCTTGGTAAGTTCATTTTGAATAATTTATTTTTATACTTTCTGATAAGTGGAACATTATTTGCTCATGCTAATTATAGTTCCAAACATTCCAGTTCTTTTTTATGTGTTACACAAAGTGGTTCCTAAGTTAGTGCTCCAACTATTTACCTTCTTGTTTGTCTATCACAGCTTTGTGATCAAAAAGTTACTGCATCGCACAATCTTCTAGTCGGACCCAAGTCAACCTCTGTTTCATGTATTTGCCTCAGTTTCCTTCCCTAGGATATTGTTACTCATAAGAATCAAAATTTGGAGACTTTAAGTTATCTGTCTGAATCTGCTACCTGGCTGAATCAACCTGTTTGCAGAATCCACAGTGCTAATCCTTCCATTATTTAAATCAACATATGGAGAAAAATATGTTTTCTCCATATTTTTGATGGCTATTTTGTCTAATATGATGAGAAAGTTGGCAAATGCATTATTTTTTCACTTTTGAGGTGAAGAATGAAATATTGTGAAATTATCTATGGCTTTGATATCGAGCAAAATTCCATTTAAGCTGATGTGTCCTGATTCCAATTTCCAAAGTTGCATGCCATTGAATTTTTACAGTAAGCATGTCTCTTTGAAGGAAACTGCTAGATTAATGGTGAATAACAGAAAATGCTCTTGTTGGAAACTACAGTGGGACTGATTTAAAATTTGTTTCTGAACTTTCTTCCCATCAGTGTGGAACAGACTCGCAGAGCTGAAATGTCAGATGGGCACAGTGAAGTGTTGGAAGGGCCAGAATTAATGCTATATGTTAGTAGGATAATGTCCTTATAGGAATGATATTGCAGTCAGAATGGTAATTCAAGACAACTGTTAAAAGCATTAGCGCAACTTGATAAGACCATGGTGCGCTATTAAAGTGCTGGAATGGATTTATAGATGAATTGAATACAAAAGCAGGAAGATAATGTTAAATTTCTGTAGAATGTTGGTTAGATCACATTGAATCACTGGAAAAGTGCAGTAGAGAAATTACAAGGATGCTAGGTGAATTGTGAATATACAAGTACCCCCAGCAATGGCTTTTCTTCCCAACCCTTACTGCTACCTCTGCAATTCCCAAAAATCCACCACTGAATCTCTGTTTTCATTTACATGCTGAACCCGAGTGACATAATTCTGTAGACATGGAATTGGGTTCCACGTACATACTAATAAATATATTTCTGTCTCTCCTTCAATCTTGGATGAACCACAATTTTGTTTCATGTTAAATGTTAAGAGCCTAATGTTATCTTCTTTGTCCCTGTCACTGATTCTGTGACCTTTACACCAATTCCAGCCACAAAACTGCCCTCACCCTCTAAGGGTGAATCACAATTTCCTTGTGATATTCAAGCTGAAGCTCAGCTGAGTATCCACTCCTTTTCCTTTCCAAAGACCTCCATAACAGCAAAACCAGTGAAGCATAATAATAACATCAAAATAAACAGCATCTAACTGATCAATTCCAATAGATTTCTGCAGTCTAAATTAAGGAAGCCACGTCCACTTTAGTAAAATGTCACCCTCAGAAGTCTTTATATGGGTTCAATTACAGACAGCAACGAACATCACTTTTGAATTAAAATCCTGGAATACACATTAAGAACTGTATCCTACAAAAATATTCTTTCATATTTATTGATGTTGACCAACTTTAATGAAATCTTATGATATCTTCAGCTGAACAAATAATAAACTTTGATGTAAATACACATAACAAAAGAAAACCTATCTTTTTAAACAGATATGGCTATAATTACATTGGAAGGTTTTCCAATGTTATTTTGAAAAAAGGTTTCCCTGGCTGAATTAACAGATATTGGAGCAATATATATCCCAATAGATTTAAACTACAAAGACTTGAGGAAGAATGGAAATCTTCATTCCTGGATATTTGTAGTTTGGCAATTCAGTTTGTTTCCATGTTTTAATGCCTACTACCCAGCCAGCTGGATCTCTCGTTTCATGAATTTATCTACTAATGCTTTTAATGCAGATACGGACATGACAGCTCTATTAAAGTTAATGGTTACATCACTACTTCTTTTTAATCCCTATTTATATGCATCATCATGTTTTGGTATGGATCTAAAATTGTTTGGATGCTATATTAAATTCACCCTTTTTACTTGACTTCATGTAGCAGTACATTACATAATTAAAGTATTTTGGGGGGAAAAAAATCAGTGGCCCCTGGAAATGGGCATAGGGATTCCTGTGTGTGATTCTGATGCAGAGGCAGGCCCAACTTTGCAATCATACAAATTAGCAGGCAGCGCAATGTGCAGCCAAAGTTAAACATGGCTCAGCAGGAGTCCAAGTTTGTATTTGGCTAACAACACTTAAAAGTTGAAGTTAACCTACACTACCTAAAGCTGGCCTGCACAGCAAAATGGAATAGTATATTCTGGTGAAAATCTTGGTGTAGGAAGAGATCTGATTTATCCACAGGGGACCTGAATATTACCCAAACAAAATCTGCAAAGGCAGTATGCCTAGATAGCTGTGGAGGTCAATGCTCATGACCTCATGAGTGGTTAAGATCACAATATAACTTCGAATGCTGTACCCACCAACCTCCCCACTAGCCTTACACAATGCCCGAAATACTACTGAGCAGTGTTTTGGCCCATTTGTGACTCCCCAGATACGAAGCAGTCCCTCGTTGCACACAGCAAGACCTGGACAATATTTAGGCCTGAGCTGGTAAAAAGTAACATATGCAAAATGGAAGTATCAGGCAATGACCACCTCTGATGAGAGAGAAAGCTGAGCCATCTCTCCCTGACGTTCAACAGCATTGCAGAATAGCTACAACACTGGCATCTATCTAGCAATGTAAAAAATTGTCCAAATACGTACTGTGTGGAGAAAACAGGACCAATCTAATGTGATCAATTCCATCCCCATGTCTACTCTTGAGCATCAGTAAAATGATACAAGGGTTCAGCAACAATGGTAACAAGCAGGTCATGCTTTGCAATTACCTCTTCACTAACACTCAGTGTGGGGCTTCACAAGGGCTACTCCCCTCCTGATCTCATTGCAGCCTTGTGCCACATCTCCAGATTACATTCACCACCAACTATCCAACTGTGCTGGCCATATTACCCGAACAATTATTTAACCTTCTCAATCTCTCTTGCAGGACAAGGTGGCACACAGCCAGAGAAGATCAGAAATGGTTACATGTCCTAAATCCCATGGAGGAGAAGACATTGCTGACCATTATGGGGACAGCTATTGCTGAGGCCATGTTCAGTGAAGGTGACTGAAGCCATCAAAAATTACATTACTTGTGTGCTTTCTGTTAGCACGTATGCCTTTCATTTGGATCAGTTGTGATATTATAGCAATTTGCATGGTTTGAGTGAATTCTGTTCTTGAAAACTTTTTGGAATTTTTAAATTTTTGGGAAAAGTGAGGAGAAAGAAGGAAAGCCCAGTAGTAATGACTGTTACAGTCATTATAGTGCTACAGGATGCGCCCTATCAACCTCTGATCACACAACACATAAATAAACTTGGATTCAATGGCTTTCAGCAAGATGGTGTCCTCCTCAAATCCAGCAGTGGTCTCAGTTGAATATTGGTCCTTGTAGCAGTTTCTTAATTGCCTACCATCACTGAAATGCAGACCTGTGTTCCAGCCTGTCCAGGGCGACACTACTTATCTATTCTGAGGATTCTGCCATGCTGTCAGCTTCTGCATGCATGCTGATATCCCAAGATCCAGCTCTGCAGCAGTTCTCTTGAGGCTTCTGCTTTCTCTGTGCTATCGGATTGCTTGTTAGACATCCGATCTTGAATGAATTTCATTTACCTCCACCTTCAACACGCCGAAGAACTGAAGCAATTACCTCCAGCTTTTGTCATAATGTCTGTATCTTTGGCAAGATTTCTGATTAAATCAGATGTGCAAAATTTCAATTTTCCTAATCTACAAATTTGAGCTTTTGACGCCATATCCTCACCACCTTCAAGGCCATCTACTTCTAGCTCTATAATGTTGCCTGCCAATGTTCCATGTGAGTGTGAAAACCCTTATCTATGCCACTGCTACATCAGATAATAATCCAAAAGGTGGATGGGTGGCTCTGATAGTTAATGATAATAATAACACAGTAAGGATAGATGCCCTTGGCTCAGGAAACCAGGGTGTGGAAATGGTTCGCGTGAAGATGAGAAACGGTAAAGGCAAGGGTCGACTAGTGGGATTGGTGTACCGAAATCACATGGTTCAGTGGACCAAAAAGAAAGTGATAAGGGGAGCTTGCCAAAAAGACAACATGGCAACAATCATGTGGGCTTTTAGTCTACATATAAACTGAAAAAGTCAGATGGATAAAAGTAGCCTTGATGTTCATAGAATGTTTCTGGGTTGGGTTCTTAGAACACTATGCTCTGGGGCCAACCAGAAAGATGGTTATTATTAGACTTGGCACGAATTAAAATGTTCCCCTTTTTAAAACTTTTCTCAATAATGTCAACATTCTCAGTTATGCTATTATTCTTGTAATTTGCACTGTACTCTTCAATGCACTTCTTTATAATTAAATGAACAGAACTGTTTCTCACCCGTCAAGCATCACCTTTTCAATGGCTTGTATAAATTTAAATCAGTTATTTTTTTTGTATTTGATAATACAGATATGAATGCGGTGGAAGGAAGTATCAAAACATAAATATAATGAAACAATGCACCAACTAACTGAAGTGCACACTTAGGTCAGCTGGGGGTTTGCGCTTTGCAGTGACCAATACGTTTATTGTAGTAATTCATCTAGATCTATCTTATAACGCTAAAATTTTAAATGGTGCTTTCGTTCTTTTTATTTACTTGTCTGACATTTTATTTTCATTATAAAGGCTCAGATTTTGTCATCAATGCGAAGCAACAAGATGGGCCCTGACCTTAAAGAAAATTGAGCTCGTTGGTTGAGTGAACTCTGCTGTGTGGAATTCCCTTTTCCTGATGCAAGTTTGTAAATGGCTCCAAGTCCGGGGATCTCCACGCACCCAGCAACAACTACATCAAGCAAGGAAGCAGCTAAGCACGTTGATGTAGTCTCCCATACAAGAAATCATTAATTTAAAATACACTGAATGTTTCATTTTTAATTACTATTTTTGTGAAAACAGAGTAAAATAAATGATTGGAAGATTAGTACGGGATTATGGCAACAACTGCAGTACGATAAACAAACTTAAAAAAAAGAAATAAATTGAATTGCTTCAAATTACAGAAATTTCATATTCCACAATTTTAAATTAGATTTTCAGGTCAATTTATGGCTGTTCAGCAATAATTATGAATTTATTACACTCTTTAAAGACACGGTTAAACCTCATTTAACAATGTCTAAGGGATTTTACAGTTGAATTAACAGGGTAAAAGGCTACCCTTTCCCCATTCAGTGATTTCTGCTTAATTGCATTGCACCCTCAGGAAAAGCACTGAATCACTGTTTGTAACTTTAGGATCTCTAAATTTAAGCGTACATAAGCTGATTCCAGATGTTGCGGGCAGCTTCAGTGTGCTAATGATGGTTAATGCTAAAGATTCACTGTTTGCACCACTATCACAAAAATAAGGGCATTCTTTGAGAAAAACCAAAACAACTGCAGATGCTGTAAATCAGGAACAAAGACAAAGTTGCTGGAAGAGCTCAGCAGGTCTGGCAGCATCTGTGAAGGAGAAAACAGAGTCACCGGACCCGAAACGTTAACTCTGTTTTCTCCTCCACAGAT